TCTGTTTTAATTAAATTACTGCGATGCTTTCAGTGGAAAGAATTTCCGTACAGTTCTCAAACATTACTGATTGTAATCCTTCTGAGAATTGTACGAATCAAAACAATATTTAAAATCAATGTTATTGGAATGTGGTGATTTCTCCCACCAGGTGGCTCAGCTTGAGGGCTTATACAGTTATCGAGGTGCGCAGCGCAAGTAACACATGGCATGGCTTTGCACTTAAACAACACATTTTGTTTAGCGTCTTGTTTATACTTATGTTTATGTTACTTAATCTGGTATGCTTATTGGGTCAGCAGCTAAGCTTATTTACGAATGATAGAAGAACTCTAAAACTTAGTGAGTGTCATGACTCCAATGAGAGAACACTATCCATAGGAAATGACTGAGTATGTTATTAGTAAGAAAGAAGATGGCTAGATAATTGTATGAATAGTAAGAAAGAAGATGGCTAGATAACTGAATGAACAGTAAGAAAGAAGATGGCTAGATAATTGAATAAACAGTAAGAAAGAAGATGGCTAGATAATTGAATGGATAGTAAGAAAGAAGATGGCTAGATAACTGAATGAACAGTAAGAAAGAAGATGGCTAGATAATTGAATGACATATTTGAAAAGCAATTAATAACGGTCAACTTTTCAAGATCTCTCACCCCCCCCCCCCTCCTCTTTCATAGGATTAGCACATAAACAATGTAATAATATACAGTTCCCTGCACTGAACATTTACAATAATATAATTTTGTCTGTTAACGGAATGATCTCTGACGTAACTGATGATAGTACAACGTGATTGGGTGAAAAACAATGATAAGGTTGAACAAATTGAGATTGCGAAAAGAATGTTTTTTTTTCTTTTTTAGTTATGAAAACTTAAATAACGCTTGTATTATCATTTTGGATTAAATATCAACATTTAGGACATACTTATTGCCCTATAAAGCGATTAAACAGTTTACTTGAACTAAGATGGAAAACGGTTCCATAAGAATTGAAAGTAGTTTGTATTTCTTGGCCCGGGTGTATTTATCGTGCCATTTTTTGTTTGTTTGTAGTTAAGCACAAAGCTACACAATGGGCTATCTGTATCGAAACCCGATTTCTGGCATTGTAAGTCCGCAGACATACCGCTGTGCCACAGAAAGCCAAACGTTCGAGCCGTGGTACGTAGCTGAACTTGATCCGACTCGTGCTTTCTACAATGGGATGTTATAACTCTGACAGCCAATCCCGCTATTTGTTTAATAGTAGCTGGAAAGGAGGCGGGTGCCGCACTGTTTGTTTGCCCTCTCCCTCCCTCTCATCAGGCCCGGCATGGTTAGGGGGCGCTCGACTCGTAATCTGTGGGTCGCGGGTTCGAATCCCCGTCCCACCAAACATGCTCGCCCTTTCAGCCGTGGGGGCGTTATAATGTGACAGCCAATCCCACTCTTCGTTGGTAAAAGAGTAGCCCAAGAGTTGGCGGTGGGTGGTGATGACTAGCTGCGTTCCCTCTAGTCTTACATTGCTAAATTAGGGACGGCTAGCGCAGATAGCCCTCCCTTGTAACTTTGGGCGAAATTCATAACAAACAAACAAACCCTCTCATCAACTGAGGATGGTAAATCCTGTGTCTCATAAGATGCCGTTTAAGTTGGAAATTCCAATACCAACAACACCAATTTTCCATTTCTAATCGTGTACGGTGAAAATTTTAGTTGTATTGTTCGCGCATGCGCACAACTTTTCTAGAAAAAGAACAATTTTCTCCTTACATCGTAATATATGTTACGAGAAAAGAACGTACAATGCATTTATATTCATACCGCAAACTCATTCGCGTAATGAATTCATCTCCCACCCACTCACCCCTTCTGCATACTGTTTACTAATTTCACATTTAACTCAATAACGTCATTTTTCCACACGCATCCACCTAAGATTGGTGGGTTGTAGACAGCTGGCGCTCTTATGAGATTTATACAAGATAAACTATTTAATCTACTAAGTAAAGACATCAGTAAAACTAAAAATGAAGTATTTTAAGTGGTGTAGTAGCGGGAAACTTGCACAAAGGTGATAGGGTAAGAACTCCCAATGGCAAAAAGAACCTGAAAATTCTTTTCCTAAATGCTTTTCATGTAGTTTTTTGTGTGTGTGTGTAAGGCATCGGTAATTTCAAAAGGACTTTAACGCTTATTTTCACCTTTTATCTTCTCCCGTCGATGATGCTAGGTTGAACATTAAAAAAACCTGTGTTTGTTGTGTGTGTGTGTGTGTAATCCACTAGGTTTATTGGTTAGAGTTAAGTTCGAGCAGTTGAGTGTTACCCAGGAGACACATG